TTTCTTATATCTGTCTCCATTTTTCAGTGTAATCTGTTCTTTGGTCAACCTTTTTTTTGCTTTAGCTTCAAGGGTTCCAGTTGACGATGTGTTCTATCCACTTCCTATGCTTCTTCTAGATTTCCTCCTCCATTAGAATCTGGTTTGTTCTCCTTTACAGTAGGTATTTACTGTTAGTGTTTAGTCAATAGATCCAAAGTATTTTGCGTAGTCTGTTTTTTTTTCCCCAGTAGTTTGAGGAAATTCCACTGTACTCACTTAGTAATCTAAGTCACACTACATGTAGGCTTTTAATTACTTAAAAGAAATGTTCATTTTAGTTTTTTCTGCCTCTAATGTAGCAATCAACAAGTTATCTATTCTATTTAGCTGTTTCAAAGTACCACAGACCTTACTTACTTACTTACTTACTTACTTACTTACTTACTTACTTACTTACTTACTTACTTACTTACTTACTTACTTACGCCTGTTACTCCCAATGGAGCATAGGCCGCCGACCAGTATTCTCCAACCCACTCTATCCTGGGCCTTCTTTTCTAGTTCCATCCAATTCTTGTTCATTTTTCTCATATCTATCTCCATTTCCCGGCGTAATGTATTCTTTGGTCTTCCTCTCCTCCTTCGACCTTCAGGGTTCCATATGAGGGCTTGTCTTGTGACGCAGTTGGGTGTTTTCCTCAATGTGTGTCCTATCCACTTCCACAGACCTTAATAACCAATAATTAATTACAATTCATTTTGGAATTATTCAAACACTTCTGTAGTATGAATGAAATAACTTATCTACGCTCTCTACCTTATCACTCTCAATCAAACGGATAGGAAGAATGCTTTGTCGATATCGGAGCATACAAGAGCATTATTGAAATGGGAAGACTGTGGGACAACATGTCAGATAATCAAAAATTCTAAATAACTTATAGAACTACTGCGAACCTCACTATCCCAGATGGAAATTCACCTGTTGAACTCATGTTGAAAAGAATTATTCGGTCTATTTTCAACGTGATGTTTCCATTTAAAACAGTGGATAGGCACAAACGAAATCAGAATGTCTGAAGATTCTATCTGAAGTTTGTGTTGATGATGTCGTTCAGAAGAACGATGAAAGCTCCACGACCAAATCATCCAGCTCAGAGAACAAAACTCCATCAAAATTTAATGTGAGCACATTTTTGAACACTTATTCAATAACTGCTGGTGCTGCTATCTTTCATCTTTTAATTTGTAACTGTGGGGTTTATTCGTGTTCAATTCCCGATAGCCGTTTACCGTATAAGTCGTTATCAAATAGAGGACATAATATAACCGTGACCAGTGGAGGTAATCTGTGTCTGGTAGAGACAGATATCTACCTCAGTACAATAGAAAGTGGTCGCGCAACTTACTATGATTAGGAAGGTTCAATAATGTTCAAAACTGAGGATTAGCTTAGAATATAAAGTACAAAATAATACGTTTAAATTACAATAGCTTTAGAACAAAAAGGGTTATGGAAGTGCGCTATGTTTGAAGCTATCACGAGTTCACTTAATCTGCGAACGAGAACAAGACTCATTAATCAAAGATCAGTAATCTAGCTATTGATGCGTTCCAGCCCTACTATCTAGATGGAGAAGTTCAAGCTTAGAATTGGAAGTATGTTCTGTAACAGCCAGAAGCACGAGCGATCTCACAAACACAATTTAAAACGTATATATACACAAATATAAACGATCGATATTTCCATGGAGCTTTTAAACATTTAATGGATAAGTTCTTCAATCGACTATGTTCATGGGTGGTAAGAAATGCCGAAGCATACATCGGCATACAAGCTCCACAAAGATAAAATGACAAAATATGAGTTTTAGGGATCTATCGTCCCTAACACAATGAATCATACATCAAACGAAAGTTTATGTTCTGTAGAACAGACTGGGGATAAAAATAAATGTTAATGTTTTACAAGCTCTAAATCAAATGAAATAACGTCCTGAAAAATAGCTTTTGTAGTTTGTCAAAACTTCCTCTTTCTCTATTCACATCAGAAACCATGATCAATGAAGTTCAATCTATGTCGGAAAGAGACAGATATCTACTTCAGATAATAAATCAATGATTGTACAATATTGTAGATAACCTAAAGTTAGACATTAACATCATTAGATGACGATTTAATGGTCTGAAATTTAAGCATTTTCATTAGAAACCAAAAATCCTAGGTTCGAGTTCCACATTCAACATCGTAGATACACATGCTCGACAAGTCCCACAATAGGACGAAACAGTTGTCTAATGCTTCCAGGTTTTCCATGGTAGTTCAGCTTTAATTGAATCATGAATTCCTCTATTAAATGTCTATAATAACCACAACCGCCCCCCCTTTTTCTCATTATAAGTTAATTTTATTGAAACATTTGTGAGCCCTACCGTAGTGGTGAAACTCTATTTTATGGACGACCTTTGAACGTATGTTTAAGTGACCTTGAGAATATTAGCCAATCAGAAGAGAGTTAGTGTAAAGTAAAAATATATTATAAAAAACTGATGAAATACAATGGATATTCTTCTTTCACATGATTTAGGAACTTGTTAAAGTTTGATAAAGGTTCAGAAGTTTTGATATCATAATGCATTCGGTATAGGAACTCGTCCATATGACTCCATAATAATCGTCCTCTGGAGACGTGGTGGGGTCTTAAAAAATACTTCAGCCTAGACCACATGCCTTCAATATTGTTTGTATGAACCCCCGTCGTTGGATCGACAAAATGACGTTTGTGCACTACAACATGATGCACAAAACCAAGTCTTGAGAGGCATTTATACGCCTTCCAATCATCGGTATAAATTGTGGTGCCAGGCTGAACGTACTCCTTGATGATTGGCATTATTGTCGTAACCTTACGTTTTCTCACTCTTTGAAAATATCCCTTTTGAGTTGAACGATCGTAAAATCCAAGTACCTGTCAAGTATATTCACGGAAGTGCTACTTACCCAATCTTTCTTGATAAAACGTGCTTTGTTGTCTTTTCGCTTTCTAACTACTGTCTCATCTATTTCCACTATCTTTCCAACTCCCACAAATGATTCATGTATTTGTGTCATTTTCATTGCGCATATATCACGGCAATATTCATACCACGGAACGGTGGAAGTTTACGTGACATCTGCAAAAACCGCAGCTAATGTTACTGGAGACTTTATGATCCGATTTGCCACAATTATCATGATTTGTCTTAGCCTGAGCCGTGATCGCGCAAAGAAAGTGTCAGTTCGAGCAGATTTTTTTCTCCAACATATAGTACAACGAAATACAATCACGGTAGTCTGCACATCGTGCTGCAGTCACAGACACAGGAACTTCTTAATAGTCCTATCTGTTGTAGTCGCTTAACAATCATCTCTTCTCTAAAATTTGCTGTAAAGCCATCGAATGTGAGCATCTCGCATAGAACTTAGCGCCGTGACCTTGAATTTCCTCAGACGCTTTTGATTGGCTCGTCGATAAATTAGTCCTACCCAACATTACCAATACTCTATAACAATGTTTCAGTTCACTGATTATTGATATTATAGACTATCAGTAATCAATATTTATCGATTTATAATCATCCTGGGGTTTGTCTTTCCATTACAAGTTTTCATAATATTGATTGAATAGAATTTGTATATTATCGAATATTCTTGATTAAATAAATATTTAAGATTTTATTAATTGAATTTCTGAGTTGATTAAAGTTAGATCATCATTGAAAACTTGAAAGAATTGGACATCTATTTTATCTTAGTATGGAATTCGTCAACAGTATGTATCCACAATCCCGTTCTCGGGACTCGAACCTGAAAGTTTCAGTTTTGCGTAAGAATGTTTAACTTTCAGATTATTCAGTCGTCATTCAACGATATTGATGTCTAACTTCAACCAATTCATGATATTACGCACCAGTCCCCTCAAAGATTACAGGTACACTTTGCTGACGAGTGCCAAGTAGCACAAAACCCGGGTCCAGGGTTTCCTGTCGACCACCTCCTACCACCATCTAACCAGTAAATATCTGTCTCTACCCGACATGGATTAAACTTCATTGATTATGGGTTCTCATCAAAACTTCAGAAAATTCAATTTTTCAGTGGTAGTTTAACTTTAATCAACTTATGAATTCAGTTATTAAAATCATTGCAATCTCTACAAGCCTACATTCTAAAAATATTTAGGATATGAATGAACTTTCTTACAAATACTACTACTACTACTACATATACTACTACTACTACTACTACTACTACTACTACTACTACTACTACTATTAATACAATACTACTAATTACAGCAATAATAATAATAATATTAATAGTATTATTAACAATGATAATGATGAAACCGACAACAACAACAAAATCATGATTACTATACCTGAAATCTGTTTAACCATTAAGTACTAAAAAAAGAGTATGATATATGTTTATACTTTCTACTGATTGGTTAATGAATCATTTGAGTTACATAAACACACTCACCTACCCACTCACACTGACATACATGTAAATTCTATATCTATATCTATCTATCTATCTCTCTCTCTCTATATATATATATATAACCGTGGCAACTATTAAATATAATCAGTAATATGCATGGTTACTGTTCATCTTCACATTAAACTGTTCTCTTTTTGTTTTGTTTCACTCTTTTCATTACATAATTGAAATATCATTATTATTAAATGTAACAAGAGAGAGAGAGAGAGAGAGAGGGAGGAGGATTGGAATATTTAATACAAACTGAATTCATCAAATAGACTATGAAAATAATTATTCTTTTATTTTTGATTATTTATTGATTAAAGGAATTATTATTATTATTCATTGAGGGTAGCAACTAACCAAAGAGAAAAAAAACAAAAAAAAAACATCATTATGATTTCATTCTATAGAAGTGTTATGATCATTTAAGAAAAAAACAAACAAATTCATGATCAATTAATTATTATTTATTGATTTTATATGAATAATGGGTTCAGGTAAGTGAATGATATATATATATATATATATATATATTTACATGATCTGTTCATGATAATTGAATAAGATTATAGGGATCCTGAGAGTGTTCAGCTAATCATTAAGATCAAATGAGAGTTATAGGAGAGGAAGAAGAATTAGATTAGTGATTTGAGATCTATGATCTTATATTTGATTGATTAGTTCATAAATTATTGTCTTACTATTGATATAGAGATAATACTGACTTTATGAAAGTATAAAAGTTTTTAATGTTGTGAATTGCTTCTAAATGCCGTGGTACAGCCGAGAGTGGGGAGAATCAGCTCTTACTCTCAAAATACTCTCACATGGCCACTTGTATATAGATTCTGACAGGGAAGTCCTACTCACTACTTTGTGTGCTTTATAATGTATTCTTTTATACAATCAATATTTATGGATTGTCCCCATTTGTGAACCGTTTTTATCTATTCTAGCCTTAAATAATATTACATAATGATAACAAGTTATTATGTATTACATAATCCAGTATATTTTTAACCAGATGACTTATATTTAGAAAACATATTAGGACAGTTAAGTACTTAGCAACTACTAGACATCAATTCTTTATGATACTAAATAATATTCATTGAAAGTGATTTTTTTTTATTAGTGATGGAAGATTGTGTTATATCCCAACAAGAATATTGAATAGTAACTGTTGGGTAGCTATGCTATGCATATTCGTATTCCTCTTATTATAAGCTTCATTTTGACTCATAGATGATTATTGTACGATTTATCATTCTTGAATTATGACCAATCTATTAATGACAGTCTCCCATATTCATAGCCACATTCGGTAATATCTTGTACAGATGTTGTTACCTATTTTATGGTACGTTGTGGTCTGTTTAATTGATATATAAACTCAGTATGTTTGAAATATAACGATTTATATTGCAGAGGCTAAGATTGGTGTTCTGGACTCAATAGGCATGAGAGGCTAGGCAGAAAGAAGCACCAGTATAAACTCTAGACTAATCGTACAAGTTTTATGCATCATTGATGCGGTCGATAAATCACAGTTCTCTAATTGGCAGTATCATTACGTTATAGATTAATAAGAGCTCAAGGCCACAAGTTATAACAGATTGAGATAAAAATTATTATAATTTAGTGAAACATTTTGTGTATCCATTCAATGAGAATGTTTACTAGATAGTGCTTATTCTGGTTCCTTTATTATCTAGTATCTGTTAGTAAGCTGTATCTACATTGTTTAAGGTAAATAATGTTTTATAAAACCTCATCTGATCAACTATGCTTTCTATGTGGTCGTTTCGTCCTATTATCGGACTCCTCATCAATGCACATCCACGATTCCGCCTCGTGAGATTCCAACCCAGGCCCTATCGGTCTCGAGCGCGAGCACTTAACCTGTATACTATTGAAACGGCATCCAGTGGCGTTAGTGTCTAACTTCAACTAATCCACGAAATTGAACGACACATCCACCATTGTCTTCAGTGAGTTATTATCTCATAAAAGACCCGGTTGAACTCCATTGGTCACTGCTTCTCTATAGAACTCCAGCGAATACAACTTGAATACAGTCACTAATGAGCATATGTTGATTGATATCAGAAGGGGGGTTTTTGTAGATATTATTTTAATTTTCAATGGTTGAAATCATAAGTTAATTGAGGCTGGGTCATCATGTAAAATCTGGAAGCACTGGACGGCTGTTTCATCCTTTCGTGGGACTCGTCAGCAGTGCGCATCCGCGATCCAACCTCGCGAGATTCGAACCCAGGACCTATCAGTTTCTATTATATACTGTAATATTGTCAATAAGTGTTTTACCTTATATGGTTGAAGCATTTCAGGGATGAAACTGATAAATGACAAATATGAAATCATTAAGACGGAAATGTTTTTAATTCGGATTTAAATGATCCCATCATATTATAACCTACAGTCAGTGAATCTGGATGTTCTTTGATAAACATTACAATCAATAGTGTTTGAAAAACATTTCAATTGTAGGAACTACAATACGATATACTATACACTATACGTTACTAAAGGTTATTTACTGTAGAATACAGAATCCTTAGTATAAAGTATTTCAACAAGTTTCCACTTCTTATTTGTGGATCGATTCTGACGAGAACATAGTTGAGTGATCGCCAGTTAAGTGTTAACACTTCAGGGATCGATATCTAAATCATATTCATTCTTTTCAATACATATTGCCAATCATCACGATGTCGCTGATTGGGTTCTTTTGTAAATTGTACAACGAAAGGTTGTACACCATTCAGAAACGTACTTGAATGGGTTATGTTGCTGTTAGGTATAGTAATCTGTCAAAATAAGCAAGAAAACAGATAACTTATTGAAATATCCAGATGGCAGGAACAGATAGCCCAGATATTTAAGTAGGCTACTAAATATATAAAGTGATGAGTCAATTGAAGCTAGACCACCATGGAAAACCTGTACGGTGGTGTAATTTTATGGATTGGTTGAAGTGAGACATTAATACCGTTGGATACTGACCGGCTCAATGGTCTAATGGTTAAGCGTTCACGCGCGAGACTGATACGTAAGTCCTGGGTTCGGATCTTACAAGGCGGGATCGTGAATGCGACCCCTAATGCCCTGGTATGGCCGAGAGCGGGGAGGGTTCGCCCTCCCTCTCGAAATACTCTCACACGGCCACGCGTATACAGCCTCTGCCAGGGAAGTCCTACTCACTGCCTTCTCGCACCACAGGTGTTGTTTACGAAAATGAGAGGACGAAAAGCGAACGTCCGGCGCTATAACCGGATCCCAATTATATGGCGCACATGGGCTCCAGTATCCTGCGGGAACAAATGGCGTATGAACCAACTTTTGGTCACCGGCTTCCATGGGACCGCATCTCCTCACGATGCTCCACTGCCTTGTGGACTAGACCTTTAGGTCAAAAGCTCGGGGTGTGGCCCCCTAAGAAAACCACCTGCTTCGGTTCGGGCACTTGGGCAGTATCTCAGCCCACGCACTAAAACCATGATGATGAACAATTTGGATGATAAATGCGCACTGCCAAGAAGGAGTCTCATACTAGAACGAAACAGCCATCCAATACTTCCATGTTTCGCATGGTAATCTAGCTTCAATTGACTCATAATATGAACTATTCAAATAATTAAACTCTTTACAAAACTATATTTTGTACCATAAAAATAGTTACTTTATATTATATTCCAAATGTATCTTAGAATATTAACATCTTCATGATTTGTACATTTTCACATGGTAACTATGATAAATTAACAATTTGAATCATTTAATTGTTCTATTTTATGTCAATCATTTATTGTTTATAAATTCATTGATCATATTACAATATCAATATAAAATCAATAAAGATGAAACCCTATTATATTATACATTTGAAATCATGAATAAATCAATGTTAGATGATCATTACAAAAAAAAAAAACAAAAAAAACACAACAACAACCTGATTCCATTCAACAATTCGTTGATCTTACTATAGAATTTTGAATATGGATCAATTCATGATCTTGATCAATTGAAAAATTCAACAATCTTTATCATCTAATATTAACCAATGTAACTAGAGAGAGAGAGAGAGAGAGAGAGAGAGAGAAGGGGGGGAAGAGTGTAGTAGTAGTGTATGTTTTCCAACGGATCTTAATTATTATTGTTTGTATAATGATATGATAGAAATTACAATTTACTTAATTAAATAAATGTCTCCTCTTTTTATATGATAATGTTTTCAATGAAATCAATATTTATAATGATGAAAGAATCTTGCGAAGTGGGATCTCGGATGTATACTGCTGAAGAGTCTTAAACTAAGACGAAACGGCTATCCAGTACTTCCATGTTTCGCATAGCGGTCTAGCTTCAATTGATTGATGATCCAGTTTCAATTGACGTATGATTTCGAGCTTCGATACATCTAGATCCTGGGTTGGAATCTCGTGAGCTGGGATCGTGGATGCGCACTGTTGATAAGTCCCACGAAAGGACGAAACAACCGTCCAGTGCTTCCAGGTTTTCCATGATGATCCAGCTTCAATTGACGTATGATTTCAACCATTGAAAATTACAATAATATCTACAAAAAGCCTCTTCTGATACCAATCAACATATGCTCACTAGTGACTGAATTCAAGAGATATTTGCTGGAGTTCTATTGAGAAGCAGTGACCAATAAAGTTCAACTAGTTCTGCTGTGAGATATTAACTCACTGATGACAATGGTGGGTTAGTCTCAATATTCTAGATTTTAAGTGCTCGCGCTCAAGACTGATACATCCTGGGTTGGAATCTTGCGAGGTGGGATCGTAGATGCGCAGTACTGACGAGTCCCATAATAAGACGAAAAAGCCGTTCAGTGTTTTTAGGTTTTCCATGATGATCTACCTTCAATGGAGTAATGATTTCAACTATTGAAACAAATTATGATTTCAGTAATGAAGATTCTTTCAATATTCTGTTTACTTCAACAAAAAGATATTTTGATTATTGAAGATGATTAAGAATTGTCTTCTTATGGTACATGATCTTCAATAGTGTTTCAACTAGCACAACTATGAACGAACCAATTAGACTTAGGAGAACAGGTTTTAGAAATTTATTCATCCAATTGGTTAAATAGAGTTTTAACATTTTAAATGATCTTAGTTCGTGATGAGTATTATAGTAAGTTCAATAGTTGAGATCATGTGTCAATTGAAGTTAGACCACCATGAAAAATCTGAAAATACTGGAAGTCCATTTCGTCTTGTTCTGATATTCGTCAGCAGTGCGCATCTATGATCCCGTTGCGCAAGTTATGAACGCAGGACCTATCGGTCTTGTGTGAGGACACTAATCTTCCAGACCACTAAAAAGTTTATCAGTAGGAAACAAAAGTATTTACAAGGTTATAAGTAATCTTGCAGTTCCAGAAGCTTTTAAATGAATATGATACTGAAATCAATCAAAAATATGTCAGTTTATTAGTCAG